CAGCTGAAACGTTGATACTGTCCCTTTGATGATTCAGCTGAAAATGTGATACTGTCCTTTTGGATGATTCAAGATAGTTTAACCCCAAGCGTTCCCCTCTTGCACTGAAAAGCCACTTTCCATCCTCTGGCACAGAGTTTGTTCCCCTCAGGATCTCAAGTGTCTGATTCTCAGAAAAAAAAAAAAAAAAAAAAAAATGGAATCTCAAATGTTTGATATATTGTAACAATCAAATGTCAGACCACATTATTTGTAGAAGACATTCAAATTTTACTATTTAAATTTAAATGAAAGCCTCTCTAGCTCTGTTGCACAACTTCCAACGACAAACTGAAAACATTCTTTCTTTTAACTACATAATAAAGAACAAATTTGGATCAAGAAGTCATTCTTAAAATTTCTTGAGTCAATAGTGAATTCAATTCAATATTCAAATGTTCAGGAAAAGTTCCACATTCAAACACCGTTTGAATTTACTAAAAATCCAAGGAATAGCTATATATAGCGTCATCAAGAGCAAACTAGTAAAGATGAATCAAGTGCATGTACGATCCCTAAATCCCCATGAGAGTAGGAATAAGCAAAAACTACCAATTTTGAATGTTGTAAGAATCAGGGAGCCAAAACTAGAAGAATCAAGCTTGAGCTCGATAATAGTTCCTTTCTCGTACATCTTGCCGCTATGATATTTTCTCTTAAATTAGGAACTAGGATTTTTTTGAAGTGAAAAGTAGTAGAGTAGAATTAGTATAAGCACCAGAGGTGCAAAAAGAACATGTATAATTATTTACAACTTAGTCCTCCGTACCAAAAATCTTCCTAAAGACTCAAAATATACCAGAGGATGACCCGTAAGCAAAAACTTTAGGGTACTAAGATATTAGGAACTAGGATTAGGCCAGCTTTCCTTTCGTAAGTCAAGGTCAAGGGAAATCAGGAATTCAAGTAGCCTTATGCCTAGCGAAAACAAGTTCTTGCTTTACAGTTTTCATTTTCAAAAAAATAAATAAAAGTATAACAATGTATAAGAGCTACGGCACCAAGAGGGTGCAATCCATGCACAAAAAGTATTTACGCCTCAGAAATAATGTCTATCACGTGTCCAAAATCTTCCACACAATACATGTCATGCTTTAAGAAAATAGAGTCAAAATAATGAAACCATCTATTCCTAATTTTAGACATATCATCCTCCACCCTATCAAAAACCCTTCTATTTCTCTCTTTCACACCACCCAAATAATAGTCAAAGAAATAAGTTTAATATATTTTTTCTGTTTACAAAAACCTCCACACGCCTATAACTCATCCCTCACCGAGCTCACCCCAACCCAACAAACGCCCAGAAGACTATTTTTTTTAAATAAAAAAAAAGTATTATTATGCACAAGATAGCGAAGGAGTACCATCCATATACAAAATAGTTACATGTCAATCAAGTGATCCATGACAACACCAAAGTCATCCAAATCTTTGATATCATAACCCAATAAAATAGAGTCAAATGTATGAATCCATCTACCTCTAATTCTTACAAAATTAGTCTCTATACTCTCAAAACCTCTCTCATTTATTTCCTTTCACACTACCCAAAATATAGTAAGTGGAACAAGGAATAAATGATTTTTTTTTTTACAAAAGTCAACCCACGCCCACAGTTCATTACTCACACTATCAGCCATAACCAATTTAACCCAAACAGCCCAAAAACAGAGATCCATATGCTGTATGTCACAGGGCAAGATAATAATAAATGGTTCTATATTTCCTCAGCAGCACGGCATAAGTAGCATCTATTAATCAGAACATTCCCGTTCCTTTTTAGCATGTCCAAAGTCAAAATACATTCATTGGCCGCTTCTCACGCAAAAAAAGTCATTCTAGGAGAGGATTTAGACTTCCATATCTGCTTATAAGGAGCTGACTTACTGCACCTGTTATCATTCTTAGTTAGAAAGCTATACAAGGATTTCACCAAGAACCCTTTCTTCTCATCCAGCTTTCAAAGTCTTTTATCTCTTTCATTGTTCAATTTCATTTCATTCAGGCACGATAACAGGTCGCTATACTCATCTATTTCTCAATCTTGTAGACTTCCCTTCACCCTCACATCCCACACCCTTCCCTCCCCCACAATCTCATACATCTCCTCCACCTTGGCATCCTTGTTGCAAGCAATATCAAAAATTCTTTTAAATCTGTCCTTTAAGCTGAAGTTCCCCACCCATTCATCATGTCAAAACCAAGCCCCATCTCCCCTGCCAACCCGCCAGCCCACACAACCCTTGATAAAGTGGCTGTCATCCCAAATTTTCCTCCAAATGCTCAACCCGTGAGACTTAAATTTACCTCTTCTCCTACTCTCCCTTTCCTAATCACCCCATCTAGCATGCACCTTCCACCAAAGTTTCGCCTCCTCCCCAAGAGACCTCCACAACCACTTCCCATGGAAGGCTCGATTTAAATCCACAATTGACTTTAAACCGAGCCCCCCTCCATAATCGGTTTTTTAACCTCCTCCCACCTAATCAAATGATATTTCCTATTAACTTTCTCATCACCCCAAAGGAATCTACATTAGATACTTTCAAGTCCTTTTACTATACTGGCCAGAATTGTTAAGATGGAAAGGTAGTAAATCGGTAAATTAACAAATATACTCTTAATCAAAGTGAGTTTACCCGTTTTAGATAGGAAATTCCTCTTCCACTCCGCCAACCTCTTTTCAAATATCTCAATAATAGACTCTCGTGCTCTCACATCTTTATATTTGACCCCGAGTGGGAGACCTACGTACTTTATAGTAGATTAGTGACTTTACAATCCAATACCATGGTCAATCAAGCTTCATCACTTCTATCACCAATCTGCACCATTTCCGTCTTTTTCAAATTGATTCTAAGACTGGAAACCATTTGAAAGCAAAGTTGGATGCATCTCAAGTGTAAAATGGCATTAACATTCGGTTCACAAAAAATTAAAGTATTAGCCGCAAAAAATAGGTGAGAAACTCTCATATTTTCCTTCCCAATCTCAACATCCATTCTTTTCGACAATTCAAGTCCCCCACTCTCTCCATCAATCTACTAAACGCCTCCATAACGATAAGGAAAAGTAGTGGTGACAAAGATCCTCTCGGCAAAGGACTCTAGAAGTCTTGAAAAAGGTTCATGGTCCCCCATTAACAATGACCACAAAGGAAGTAAAAGAAATACATTTTCTAATCCACTTTCTCCATTTACACCCAAATCTCATCCTACCAAGAATATAGTCCACATGATCGTACGCCTTCTCCATATCAGTTTTGTATATAAGTCCTTGTTTTTTCTGCCCCACTAAATCATCCGCCACTTCATTGGAAATCATCACTACATCGAGGATTTGTCTCTCTTCAACAAAAGCATTCTGATTTTCACCAATCACTTCCCCAAGACCTCTAGATAATCTTTTTGCAAGCATCTTGGATATCAATTTATAAATACTCCCCACCAAACTAATTAGTATAAAGTCTTTTATTTCTTTAGCACCCACCACCTTAGGAATAAGCACTAAAAAAGTTGAGTTGATGGAGTTAACAAAAGTCCCCGACCTATGGAAATCATGGAACACAGCCATCACATCACTCTTTATCACATCCCAAAACACTTGGTAAAACTTCATATTGAAACCATCGGGCCCCGGCGCTTTTCTCCCCATTACATTCATCCAAGCAGGTTTTAATTTTCTCTTCCGTGAATGGCATCTCCAACCCATCCCTGCTAACATCACTTAACATCTTAAAATTCAGGTTATCAAGATTAAGCCTTTGAACCATGTCTTCCGTGTACAGATTCTGAAAAAATAGTTTTGCCCTTTGTCCCATCTCCTCATTACCACTAACAGTTTCCCCATTCCAGCACAGCTCATCCACATAATTGTTTTTCCTTCAATAATTGGCCAAACAATGGAAAAAATTAGTGTTTCTATTCCCCTCATTTAGCCATTTCTCTCTAGCTTTTTGTTTCCAAGAAATCGCC